AGCTGTCTATGGGAAAAGAGCAAGCCATTTTGAAGATGAGAAAAGATGGGAAATTAATCAGAGGCATTGCACAAGAATTGGGAATAGCCAATAGAACAATTTGGAATGTCCTAAAAATAAAGAAATCACTGGTGTTCTGAGCAACAAACACCAAATTGGTCGGCCAAGAAAAACATCAACAGCTGATGACATGAACATTGTTTCTGAGATCTGTGAAGAAAACCCCAAAAACCACAGTCAGTGACATCACCAACAACGTTCACAGAGCAGGGGTGAAGGTATCACAATCCACTTCAAGAGCAGAAATACAGAGGCCATACCACAACTCGTCAGCAGTAAGAATCAGAAAGCCCGTTTGGAATTCACAAAGAAATATAGAGATGAGTCACAAAAGTTCTGGAACTAAGATGAACCTCTACAAAAGTGACGGAAAGGCCAAAGTGTGGAGAATGAAAGGATCTGCTCATGGTCCAAAACATACCTTCTTCTATGTGAAACATGGTGGAGGTAGTGCCATGGCTTGGCCTTGCATAGCTGCTTCTGGAACATTCTCACAAATTTTTACTGATGATGTAACTCATGATGTTCATCTTTAATTGACTTTAATTTACTTCAAGAATTATCTTTTCCGATACATTTGCTCAACTAAAAAAATCAGGTGGTCTGATACAAAAGTATCTATTTTTTAAATGTTAAGGAGTAATATGGTAAATGTGCACTTATATAGCGCTTTTATCCAAAGCGCTTTACACTGTGTCTCATTCACCCATTCACACACACACACCAATGGTAGCAGTGCTGCCATGCAATGTGCTAGCTTGCCATCGGGACAAGTGTCTTGCCCAAGGACACTTCGGCATGTGGAGTCCCGGGCCGGGAATCGAACCGCCAACCCTACGATTAGTGGACAACCCACTCTACCACCTGCGCCACAGCCGCCCCTAATATATACAAGAAAAGTCATGCTATGAAAGACGATATAAGGACGTCCACTGGTCGAACATATTCGGACAGAGGACTAATGTTCAGATTCAACGTACTGAAAACTTTCATTCTGTCTCCACCAGCGACCTTCCACAGGACTTAGTAGACATTTATTTAGCTGTCGCTGACTGCTCAGTGGGATACTACAGAACACTGAGTTTATACAATATATGTGCGTATTTCCATTTCAACGAGTTTAACATAGACCAACTTAACATTAACTATTTACTTTTTGATCATCAGTTTACATAGCATGTAATTTTCATGAGGTATGTTTCTCAGAACAGTGTACCTATATCTGATTTATAATGACTTCTTTAGCCCTTTATAGAATTTAAATCAAGCTCATTGTGCTTCCTTTTGGAAAATTATAATTTTTTTTTTTTACTTTAGTTTCACTACATCTTTGGCCCAAATAAAATTTAAGAATTGAAGACGGAATACTCTAAGGAAGTGCCGCCATGAGCCCAGCTTCAATGCCCCTTGGCACAGATTTAACATGTCTGCACTGGGCTGATAGTGAACGTATACAGCTGAAGCAAAGAGAAAACCTCAAAAAACCCTGAGAGCAGGTTAAACACTCCATTGACCTGCGCACTAAATCACCATGTGTCCATGATATCAGAGTTCTTGCAGGTTGTTTACACGATGGTGTTTTTTTTTTTTCTCCACCTTTTGATTTGCATTTAAATAAATGGCAGCTTACAAAGAGATTTCATGTCGGTGTTCTGCTTCAGGTTGTGCCGAATGCAATGGAATTTCCAGAAGAAACATATTACATTCTGATATTACATTTTGCCCAGAAATCTTAATACAAAAAGTCAGTTAGCCTGAGGTCTACCTGCGGAATGGATCTAAATATACCAATACCATCTCTATTAAATGCTTTGATAACATTTTCTAGGGAACAAGTTGAATGCAAAAGTTTAGGCACCCCTGGACAATCCATCCTCCATCCATCCATCCATCTTCTACCGCTTACTCCTTTTCAGGGTCGCAGGGAACCTGGAGCCTATCCCAGGAAGCATTGGGCATGAGGCGGTGTACACCCTGGAGGACAGGGTGCCAATGCATCGCAGGGCACAATACCCCTGGACAAATCACACATTTTTTTTTTTTTTAAGTGAAAAGATGTAAACACAACCACTGCAGAATTTTTAATATTAAAAAAAAAATAACATTATGCTAATGCACAGTTATTATATAATTGATGAACCTTTAAAAAATAGGGAATAAAATTGTAATTGTGGCATGTGAAAAAGTTTGGATGATGTTCCATTTGTAAAGGCTCAGAACGTAAGCATTATTTGACCGGTTAAGACTGGTTACTCAGGTCAAGAATTGTCATTAGGAATTGTCAGCTGATCATTTCAGAGTGTAAGAAATTCTCTGACTTTTCACAACTGTGGGTTCCTCTAAGCACTTGACTGAGGATCCTCATGCTAAGTGATGCCTACAACGCTGGGGAAGGCTATACAATGATATCAAATTGATTACAACTAGCAATTTCCACCGTTCAAAATGTCATTAAGAAGTGGCATGGAATCTGCATGGAAGAGTCATCAGAAGGAAACCTTACCTGCAACCTCATCACAAAAGTCAATGTCTGATGTATGAAAATCAATATCTAGACAGTGCCCAAACTTTTGCAAAAAGCTGTGATTACAATCTATCAACTAGTGAATAAAAAGGAGATAAAATCAATATATATATATTTTTTTTTACATATTTACATAACTAAATAAAAATTTACATAACTAAATATTTTTTTTGTAGTTTTATTTTATTTATTCATTTTTTTTTTACAAACAATGCAGGGTTCACAATCCTTCCTATTTTAGCTGTAGTACAATTCATGCACATTCATTTTACAATATAATATAAATAATGATTTTTTTCCACCTTTATCAGATTAATTAAGTGATCATGTTAAATAATACTAAAACTGGAATCAGATTTCAGGAGCTCGGCAATCGAGAGGATATATTTTCCCACATCCTAGTCCTTCTTCTTTAGTGGGATTATTGTGGGATTATTTTTTGCAAGCATCGTGTATGATGTGTATCGTGTACTGAATGAACCAATAATCATTTTGCTATGACCAGCTTACTTCAATTCACGTAAACAGAAACTAATAATTTACGAAATATGATTGTAGTAGTTAGATTATTTTCGGCTCAAAAAACTTTCCGCGTGAACCCAGATGTTTGGGAAAGAAACATATCCAAATATAAACAGCTTATATTTTGTTACTTTTCCAAGGTAAAAATGAAAGTGTGTTTTTGATATTTAAGATCTTTGAGGAGTTCAGTCATGTTATAATTCGAATTATATCCATATTTAATACGAAAACTCTTTATTTACTAGCTGCATCAACCTTGTTAAACTCTGTATTATACTGTAAAAAATGACTCTAAAACACTAAAACCCACTAGACTCCATTTAACAAACAGAACATTTTCATGGTTAATAATATTTTGTTTGTTTTGTTTGTTTGTTTGTTTGTTTGTTTTCTGGCTCTTTAAGTTTCCAAAAGAAAATGGGGGAAAATAAGAGAATGATTTAAGGCCGTGAATACACTTGTAATGCTTAAATCACGAAGATGTCTGTCTGTTCAGAATCATTAAGGCATTAACACCATTAATTAATTTCAATGACATTAATAATAGCAGGCATCTCAGTTTAAAGTCAGTAACGAGCTCTGTCTCAGTGAGATTAATTCCCTCATTCTGATGGATGACTTTAGTCATGAGACACACTCAGACGTGCATGCAGGCGGCTCGAGCTCCTCTAAGGAAATAGAGTTCAAGGAGTTTCCAATATCGTTGCATCATTAAATGCACGCAGTTGGACTTGAATAGCTGCACAACAGTGTACACACCACACACACACACACACACACACACACACACACACACACACAGAGTGAAGTGCATTATGTAACCAACATAGTGCATTAAAGAGGATGCTTATGGCCAAGACATCAGATGTCACAAACTAATGTGGGGGAAAAAATCAGTGCTATTAAAGGAATAGTTCAAAGAAAAATCCTACAATATGCCTATCAATCAGCTTAGACGTGTTGGCCGTCCTATAGAAGTATACTTCTATAGGTTTGCTCTAAGTGATGCAGCCAAAAAAAAGAAAAAAAATACTGAGCTAAATGATTCTTTTTTTCTGAGTCATTCAGTTCAGTGGATTCAAATGATTCAAGTCTACTTGATTCATTACTTACTGATTCGTTCGAGCTTGTTTGCTTATTTTTCTTATCCTCTTCTTTATAAAACAACAATCTAATAGAAATATTTTCTGAATATATTTTATGATCTATGATGAATTCACTCATAGTAAAAAAATGAATTCTCTGGTCGTTAATTGAACTGAAATCTGTGATCTGTGGGACGCATTTAATACCATTGCAACTGAAGACAGGCGACAATAAAGTTCTGGCAGTGTGGAGTGTGAGCACTGCTACAGCACTCGTCTAAAAGCTCACGGGACAGCTACAAATAGCGGCGATGGCCAAATGTAAACAAAACATGCAATTGGAAAACCAAATATTCTTACCACGTCAAGCTCTTTGCGAATGAATGCTTCATTTAATGATGTAAGCAAAATATAGCATTTGTCTTTACTCTTCATTCTTCATATAGTCTATAATCTGACACGCAGAACATGCTAGCACACAGTCTGTTATAGAATTCGGGATGAGATTTTACACATACGGTCTATACTTAATAAGCTGCAGGAATCCATCCATCCATTTTCTGTACCGCTAATCCTACACAGGGTCCCATAGAATCTATATCCCGTAGAACTCAGGGCACAAGGTGGGGGACAACCCTGGACAGGGTGCCAATTCACTGCAGGGCACAATCGCACACACGTTCACACATTACGGACGATTTGGAGAGCCGATCAGTGTACAGCACATGTCTTTGGACTGGGGGAGGAAACCGGAGTACCCGGAGGAAACTCTTGAAATACGGGGAGAACATGCAAACATCGTGCACTAAGGGCAGAGGCGGGAAACAAACCCCTAACCCCAGAAGTGCAAAACAAACATGTTAACCACTACACCACCATGCCCCCTGCTGCAGTAATCTCATGGTCTAAAAAAGAAAAAACTTTACATTTTCCTCTTCATAACTGCATGTAACTGTAACATATAGACCTAATTATTATTATTATTATTATTATTATTATTAGTAGTAGTAGTAGTAGTAGTAGTAGTAGTAGTAGTAGTAGTAGTATATTATTATTAGTAGTAGTAGTACTAGTAGCAGTAGTAGTAATATATTATTATTATTAATAGTAGTAGTAGTAGTAGTAGTAATATATGAGTAGTAGTAGTAGTAGTAGTAGTAGTACTAGTAGCAGTAGTAGTAATATATTATTATTATTATTAGTAGTAGTACAATTTCTAGTAATTTGCATGATTCAAGTCATACAATAACTTTCTAAAAGTTAAGGACAGAGAGCTATTGTTTCATTCATTTGACATCATTTGCATAAAAGCGAAAATCCAACCTCTCACTCTTTCCAATTTTTCATTAGATCGGGCTAATATTGTTTATTAAAGCATCAAATTTTTTTCAGTAACGTTCAATATTTTCTCTCTCAAGTCTTAAACGGTCTCCCTCTTTTCTTCTTCACTTACACACACACACACACACACACACACTCAGATAATCCTGTGTTTGATTATGGTGATGTGATCGATGAAGAAGCTCAGTAGGTGTTTGATCAGACAGATGCGGTGTGTCTCCCAGCGGCTGTCTGGCTCTCACACACTCCTCTTCGGCCGCGTGGAGTGTGAACACGTGTGTACAAATGTAGCTGTGTGTGTGAAGTGAGGTAAATCTATAGCTGTAAGAGCAGAACACAGTCAATGTGATATCGTACACGCGAAAACAACCTCTCGCTTTTAAAGCTGTTGGAATCTCGGTGTAGTGTGTCTAGTTTACAGTATATCACAGAAGCCGGATAAATTATTCAGCGTGTATTCCATGACGATTGCGGCAATGGACATCTCTGTGCACATTGCTAGAGATGTACATTATGTGTCTGATGGCATTTAGAAATGTTATTTGTCCATTCTTAAAAACTCAGGTGTTCTAAGTGGGATAAATCATTCCCCCGATGTCCATTAGGGCTAGTGTCGTGTAATACATGCTGAATAATTTATTCAGTTAATGTGCTATAGTTAATGTTTAATGTGTTTTGCCAAGCTATGTTGTTCTTATACGCACATACAGCTTCATCTCACACCTTAATAACCTGCAACATAAGCCCTATTCAGACTGGATTTCTTGTACATGTGGAGATGGTCTAACGTAACTATTACTGGAGCATCGCTGGGATTTTAGTCATACCCAATTCTGTCATGTCAGTAATTGCTTTTGAATTCAATTTACACTATTTTTCTTGCGTATATAGACACTCCAGGAAGCGCTCACGCTTTTATATATAACAGTTCGACTTGTACAATTCAGCATAAAAAAAACAATACAAATAAACAAATAGAAATTCAGTTGACAAATTAGATTGCTATTAAATTATTAATGATAATTAAAGCGCACTTAGTATGGTTTTGAAACGCGCCTAATTTTGTTTTAAAGGTCTCATACAATAGATTGGTCTACCGATGTCAGCGTGGTTTAAAAAGGAAACGCCCACTGCCGTAACGAGTTTCAGCTCCGTCCGTCAGCAAGCAGGCGATGAAGACTAGAGGCGGGGCTTTTTGTTACGAACCTACATAATTTAGTACAGGAAGTAATCTGGAAGTAGTCTGGAATCACTAACGAGTCGATTCAGCTGTTCAGAATCGGCTCCTTCTTTCGGGAGTCAGTAACTCCGTTTGTCGTGAGCTTTGATTTTTTAAAGTTTGCAGATGTTTTTACATTCACAAACAGCTCGATAACACACTACATGAAAGGAAATATCTGGAAAAGCATAGTGGGTCCACTTTAAAACATTTTTTGGCCAGTAGTTTATTTTCAGTACATAATGTACAATAGAAACAAAAATAGATGCCACTTTTTTTGCAATTTATATTCTACTGTAACATTTGCAGTAAATATTTTTACACGTGTTATCTGAAACAATACGTTTTCTCTTTCCCAGAAGGAAAATGCTTTTAAAATATTACCATTAACCATCAGTATGAAGCAGTTCACAAAGCATATGTACAGTACTGTAACAACGGATATGTGAAATATAGAATTAAAGTTTACACCGTAATCATGTGTGTTTATATCAATAACTTCAGCCAATGTTTTGACACTCACGTGGGTTTGGAGGCTTCGGCTTGGTCAGTCTGGAGTTTCTGGCCTCCTTCCACTTCCATGGTGCAGTAGACGATGCGGTTGGGAGCGAGCGACTTCAAACCCTGAACTTCCATGATCACAACCTGACAGAACGATCACGAATGCAGTATTAAAAGACTCTATCGTACACTATCATGAGTTAATGAGTTTCATATTAAATTGTTTCAGAAGGTAAAACAAAATCTTAGATAAAGCAAATGAGACTTGAGTAAACACAAAATACAGTTTTTAAATGATAATGTTATTTATTGAAACAAAAAAAGTTATCCAATACCAACTGGGCCTTTGTGAAAATGTATTTGCCCCCATAGTTACTAATTCCCCAAATCTATGAAACTGCATTCATAATGGGTTTCAACTGGACTAGACACAACCTGAATACTGTAAGCCCTGTTCAATCAAATCAACACTTAAATAGAACTTTTTAAACAGCAGGAAGTCGGTTAAAAGATTTTACCCAGTAACACACTATGCCAAAACTGAAAGAAATTCCAGAAATGATGATGAAGTAGGTGATTGAAATACATCAGTCTGGGAAGGGTTACAAAGTTCAAAGGCTCTGTGATGCCAAACAACCACAGTGTGAGCCATCTCCAAATGGAAAAATTCTACAGTAGTGAACCTTCAAAAATTCCGCCAAGAGCACAGTAATGACTCATCCAGGAAGTCACAAAAGATCCAAGGACAACATAGAAGGACCTACAGGCCTCTCTTGCATCAATAAATGTCACTGTTCATGACTCCACTTTCAGAAAGACACTGGACAAAAATGGCATGCATGGAAGAGTGGTGATGTGAAAACCACTGCTAACCCAGAAGAACATTAAGGCTCATCTGAATTCTGCTAAAACACACCTTGATGATTCTCAAACCTTTTGGGAGAATGTTCTGTGGACTGATGAGTCAAAAGTGGAACTGTTTGGAAGACAGGGATCCCATTACATCTGTCATAAACCAAACACAGAAATTCCACAAATAGAACATCATACCCATGGTCAAGCATGGTGGTGGAGGTGTGATGGCGTGGGGATGTTTTGCTGCTTCAGGGCCTGGGGAACTTGTAATAATTGAGGGAAACATGAATTCTGCTCTCTACCAGAAAATCCTAAAGGAGAATGTCCGGTTTTCAGTCTGTAAGTTGAAACTCAAGCACAACTGGATTATGCAGCAAGACAATGATCCAAAGCATAGAAGGAAGTCCTAGTCCTAGAAGTAAGTGAAAGTCTGAACTCCAGTTATCAGAAGCAATTTGGTTGCAGTTATTGCTGCTAAAGGTGGCACAACCAGATTTTATGTTTAAGGGGGCAATTAGTTTTTCACATGGGTGATAGGTGTTGGATAACTTTTTTTTTTTTTTTGCTTCAGTTAAAATAAATACTGTACTGTGTGTTTACGTAGGTTGCCTTTGTTTTATGGTGTATTTCGTTTGAAGATCTAAAACGTTTTAGTATGAGATATACACAAAAACCGAATAAATCAGGATACTTTCTCACAGTAGATCCTCTTGAAGCATTCGCTACACAGCTACCGTACAAGGGACCCAGGTGACTTGTCGCTTGATTGTGTGAAGGTAAGTTTCACACAATCAAGTGGAATAAAGATTTTCTTTAAATAATTATTGAAAAGAGGTCAAAGTGTGAATGTTTTGCCCGAGAAATTACATACATATAAAAAAAAAAAAAAGATTTGATTTAGTTATTGATCAGTTATCGGTTCATTTCCGTAAAATGAACATTAAAACCAATTCGAAACTTTTTACGTCTGCTTTGGGATAACTTCATGATGTTCACTTCAGCTATATGCTGAAGAATGGGAAAAAAAAGGCATAATGCTTGAGAAACCTTTATTTCATTTGTATGAGTTTAAAAAAAAAAAAACTTTTAAAAACTATTATCGTTCTCTGGTTTTATTGTCATTCCAGAGCGTAAAGGTTAAGCATGTGCTTGTCTTGTGAAATGTCACCTCAGGGACTCCAGTCAACGTTTTCTCCCGTTTATGTGATAGATGTGGCGGACGAGCGGCGATCCCTCCTTGTCTGCTACATAGACTATCACTCTCAGCCGTCATATTAAATCAAAGCCCTCACACATCAGTGACAAACAACTAATTCCCTTCATCACACTCAATCACAAGCTTGAGGGAGGCGGGGAATATGTGCTCAATAACGCTTTCAAGAAAGACAAATGAATGGCCTGTACAGGACACTGTAAGGGTGTCTCATTGGTGCTGGTGTGTTATGGCTTGAGATAGGTTGTATCGAGGTTGTCTGGGCTGGTTAAAGTCAACTGAATGTTCTCCGTACACACGTACACGAGCTTATGAATTCTGTCCTCTCGCACCATATAAACTAACAGTGACGGCTCCTAAATTCAGCCCTCAACGCGCCACAGATGCCAAAAACACGATGTTCGATATTTAATACGACAATACGACATAATGAGATAAATCGAATTCTTTGAAATCCCCCATCTACTTGATGATAAGTGACAGGTGCATCCCAATCCTTGGCATTTCATGATTAGACAGTTTGTAAGCGATTACAGGTTTTAGACGTAACTTTGAAGAGCATACATAGAAGAGCTAATATTAATTTGCTAGGTTTCAGCAAAATTTCCAGTCCAACTACATGTTCAAACACCACCCTAACCAGCCCAAAGGCTGGCTGTGGGCGGCAGTGGCTTAGGTTGTCCACTAATGGTAGGGTTGGCAGTTCGATTCCCGGCCCACATGACTCCACATGCCGAAGTCCTAGAGCACTGA